AGGTGGGGACCCAGACGGGGCCAGGCGGGGCAATCCGGGGCTAAGGGTTAACTACATTTATTGTAAAAATTTCTCGAAATCTATTTTTTTGCCAAAAAAGTATCAATAACCATTATTTTGCATCTTTTTCTTTGATAAAACAATGAAATCTGGGGTGAAACGGGAAAAAGGGGGGTACACGCTGCGAAAATATTTTCCGTATGTGGGGCTTAACCGGTTGATTTGGCCTCATCTAATTCAGCCCACGTGCCACTGAATTAGACGGCGCCAAATTCAACCCGTTCAGCCCCACCCACTGAAAATATTTTTGCAGCGTGCGCCCCCCGTTTTCCCGTTTTAACCCCCGATTTCATTGTTTTATCAAAGAAGAAGATGCCAACCAATGGTTATTGATACTCTTTTTGAAAAAAAAGATTTCGAGAAATTTGTGCAATGCATTTAGTTCACCCTTGTCCCCGGATTGCACCACCTGGCCCCGGCTATTTAGATGGAGCCACGCGGAGATGGTGCTTAAAGGGTTGTGTCAAATTTGTAAAAGGTGGTTTGGGTGTTTAGCGAAAAATAATTCTTGATTGGGATGATTGCTTTGAAGGAGTGTTTTTAATATAAGGTGTCGCAGAGATGTGGGAAAGAAAAATGAAGCTTTAAATGGCTGTTGCCATGCGTTTCCGGCCAAAATACATGGCATTTTATAAGATCAAAGTTTATTTAAAGTGACATTGAGGATTATCATGCTCTGTACATAGGATGTCACTTGGGGCACTTCAATCGAAAATAAAATAACCCATCAAGCGAAACCGAAGTAATGAGGAATAACTTACAAAGGTGAAAGCAATTCACCTATGGTCTTAATGAGTTTCCTTCTAGTAAACGAACGTTGGAATTCGTAGCGCAGGCGGGTTTGGAAAATAATAGCATACGGGTTTTGAAAGACATTTGCCTATTACCCTCACCAAATAAACTGAAACTGGTACAAAAGTTTACTTATCCTACTTCAAAAACTAGAAGACTCGTACGTTCAGATAGATAACATGAAAGAGTGCCCACGTTTGTACTTTCAAACCAGAAAAATTCGGTTAGCGTACGTTATAGCTAACAGTACCATCCTTGTTAGCTAGAGCAAAAACAACGTACAGTAGCCTTATGGAAATTTATTGGTAAAAAACACCCCGATATCCTCACACTATTCTTGATTGAGTAAGAGTTCAATCAAAATAAGATAAGTCCTAAAATTACTCGAATCAAGCGGATCAAAACCAACTATTGCCGTAAGATCGATATTGCCCTAGCGGATATTGCAGAGCAACGCAGTGCCCCACAGGATTGCAACTTGTACAAAACGCACCATCTGATTTGAAGGCTTGACGTTCGGCATGATCGCTGGGGGTACCCCCAAATGTATCAGTAATTTTCAGGGTGATTATATAAATGTTGTATTTTGGGTCAGTGACAAAATTGGTTATTAAATACAAAATGAATATGAGCACGGAAATAGTTTCTAAAGAATTATGTTTCACAGTTGTAGCTTTCAAACCAAAACGTGACTGTGATCGGGATCCGACTATTCGGACGTGAATTTCGACGATACCTACCGCGTGCTTCGCAAGACTTGAGCAAGAATGAGGATGGCATTCATTCAGCGAAAGGTCCCATACATAAAACAATCATTTGATTATAAGGAAGCTTTCTTGAGGTGGAAAAATAGTGGAGCATGAATTGATGAACCGTCATGCTGAGCCTGCCTTTATTATTTTAAGCAGCTCACCATTTTTGAGTTAAGTTAATTCAGGTAAACGCACAGTGGAAAAATAAACAGGCGAGTATTGTAAGGTTGCATACAGTGGGCAAAAGAACAAATGTGTGAAATTAATCTGCATTAAGGCAATTGATCAAGTTTCAGCTCAGATAAAATACCTACTTGGCGTAAAAACAACTGCCTGGAAGTTTTTCTCCTGAAGGACAACAAGTTGTTCTGCCATACGCTTGGTCTCCGATTCATACGCTTTCAACTTGTTCAAGCACTGGGAATTGAAAAACTGCAGGTCACTATTCAGTGACTCTAGGTTGCGTATTTTTGAAGCCATATCTACTCATGATATACAGAAGAAGACACCTACCTCGCACTGTTTCATCATACTTTAGCCGCAAATCATCCATGTCCTTGTGTGTCAAATTTATCTCTTTAACAAGACGAGCGTTATCTGATTTATAGGGGGCAATGAACTCCTCAACGCGTCCCACAGTTTCGGCTCTTGATTCGAGTTCGTGCTTGGTTCGGCTCAAGGTATCTTTGGCGTTCACTAGGTCAGTAATTATTTTTTCAACGAGAGGTAAACTGTCCATCCCAAGTGGCTGTTTGTAACCAAGATTGTCCAGGGTACACCGGACTTTGAGAAATCGTTCTTGTGCCATACTCATTTTTTGAGATAAAGTTTGTAAAATATTCCTTAACACTATTTAAAAAAAACACGGATAGCTATAACCAAGACTTATGGAAACAACCACGAAACCAAAGTGAGGGGCTAACCTGAAGGTCAAACAAATAGGTTTAATTACAGGTAGGAATCCCAACATGTCATTATTTGAATAGCTAATTAAATTTTTGGCTTACGCATTTTGCTGTTCCTTTAAGTCCTTTACAGATTTTTTATGCAGTGTTTTTTTTCTGAATGTCACACTGGCCTTAGAAAGGCTCTTTTTCTCTGCACTAACAACTGTACTTTTCAACGGCAAATGTTAACGGTTCATGTTCCCTAATAGCAAGTAGGATCCTACGGGAGTTCTACGGGAATCCTACAAGTC